GGCGACCCTGAATCAATTCACCTATCCTTGTAGGGAATTGGCACCCAGGTGGTGTAAGCGGTAGCAAACTGCCCGGAAAGCTAGAGAGCGGGTTCAATCCCCGCATGGGCGATGGATTCACCTAAGACCCGGCACTCTTGCAAAGGAATAAATGCAGAAAAACTGTGCTAGGGTCTCCCTAGATAATATCATAATATCAGCAGCGTATTCAACCCAGCGTCTGCAGGCAGAAGTATGCCTCCTTTTGAAGAACGAGTCGCTCTTACGTACGACCCGACGATATAATGAACGCTGTAGTAGGACAGTTGATACTGGGTGTTGAAGCACTATTTATAATTTGAAGAGCAATTCAAAAGATCTCTCCTCCCACATTTCGAGCTAAAAAATACACTCAACACCTCTCATTCTTTTTCACATAGCTTTGTCCATCACAGCCGCCAATAGCGATGAGCCTGTCGCCACTAGCAGCAAGACGCGAATGAACGGACCTGTTGGAGAGAGATCTGCAGAAGAAGTAATCATTAGGATGTATTTTAAACCCACGTTCAAAAACTTCGATACCTTCCTGATGTGCACACATCTGTGGAGCGCTAACCTCGCACCTAGATTCGATACTCGAGATACGAGAAGTTCCCCGATGCGGTAGCGCCTTACCAGTGTGACTGCTCCCCTACTATAATGTAAGACCATAATAGTGTATGCAAAAAGTATCCTTCTATTTTATAAAGCGCTAACTTTGTGTGTCGGTTTGTATGTATGTATGTATGTATGTATGTATGTGTGTCCGTCCGCAAAATGAAGTGAGTGAGAAGGAAGCTCATGGGATAAACAAACCGCTAACAAATCGGGTAGCTTACAGGATTTGAGATATCAATGTTTTGTAGCAGGATAGTTGTGATAACACTCTTAGGGCTATATAAACACCTGCTTAGCACACTTCCGTTCATTCCACATGGTGCTGCAGTGGCAGCTGGAGGGCAGTGGAGAGAGGAAGGGAGGATGAGGAAGGGAAGCGAAAAATCTACCGTCATATCATGATTGTGTCCCTTCTACTGTATGAAACACCATTGTGTTGCATACGCGTCACTTCCCGAGGTGTTGGTGTCACAGGAGGAAGGGACCATAGCGGAGGATAGAAAGCTTGCGCAGGAAAGGAAGGTCCCGGCGGTTGACGGGGGACTAATCTGGTTATAACTAAATCGCTCAGTTGACAAATGAGTATTCTCGTTAGGATCAGTCCGCCCTTCAAAATTTTAGTGGGCTGGAATATGGTGAATCTCGTAGAAGCAGTTCAGTGCCATCGTTCCATGATTGTTCCATAGCGGTGACCCCAAGCCCTGGTTGTTAAGCCCTCTAATTCGATTCCAATCTATTCATGGAGGGAGAATTGATCAAAGACAAACTGGCATAGCTCAGTAACCCTTCGTCCGTTCAGAGATCAAGTACACCTCCACCAGCTTCCCATCTTGACCTTGATATATTCTTCATACATGACTAGATCTGAAAACCTAACTTATGAAGAAATACAGGAGGCTACAAAGTATGGTCCGATAATCAGCCGCTCATGAAAAATAAATCAGAACATATTTTATAGGGAAATTTCACCACTTAATAGACATTTAGCGAAGAAAAAAACTACGCATGATGTTTCTGATGCTGTTTTTGGCCGCAATTCAGCCACTTCAAAACTTCCACGAGAATGCTGGGTTGTCATCAAAACTTTTGCTTTAGACAGGACTCGTAGAGGTTACCACTTGCTCGGAAAAGGCTCGAGTCCCGTCTGGACCGAAAGTTTTGTTCACAACCCAGCGTTCTTCTATAACTATGACGAAACCCAGCGTTCTTCTAAAACTATGCATAGTATTACGCCAAATAGTCGCCTTCAGTCGGAACACCAACTTCTAATCTCTCAGTGAACGCTACCATGGTTGGCAGCAGGAAGCTGACATAAAATATCTGCCATTTTCTCTGAAACGCTGCCTGCTGTGATGGAAGAGAAAGGCAAAAGTCCTGATGTAATAGATAGCTCCATACAAATACTCCGTTAGTTTGGGTGAAGTCAATTAGATGGCTACATATTCACACAAGCTAAAGAATTGACGCTGGCGCAACGCTTCCAAAAGCCTATCTGGCCACTGCGATATTTCAGAAGAGGCGCATGACTGGCATGCTTTTTCGAGGTGAACGCAGCACAGGTTGAAGGAGCACTCATTGTTTATCATCCCTCTATACACAGTATGTTTACTATAATTAATGAGGACACCCTAGAATTCTGGAAGCAAGCAGCCAAACTTTATAAGGTCACCCTAAAATATTGCATTTCCTGGAACCAGCAGCCAACTGGTGATTTTTCCACTATCACCAAATGATTCCCACTATGAATAACCCCTGTATCGCAATTTTGGCAGGAGCAGCTTTTCTTCGAACTTTTTTGTAATTATTTTTCGTTTTTGCACCGTTTCATAATTATAAGGTCACCCATCCAAAAAGAGCAACTACTTAAAGGCAAAGTTCGGGCTCAGACCCACTTAATGAGCCTTTACGGTGGCTAGAAGCGCTAGGTACGCAAGTGTAGAGGTCGCGTCACTTCCCTACTTCGAAAAGCGTTATTTAGACGCTAGGCGCTAAGAACTTTGACACGCTCCACCTGTTGCGACACGCTCCGCCCACCGCTCGATATCTTGTCTGCGTCGAATGTTGATCTGCTATGCTCTCTCTACTCGACTTCTCTAGCGCTCTCCGCGCTCACATTATCTCTCATCTCCCTGCCGGCCTTTTGAACTTCTCCGCAGCGTAGAGCAAAAGGCTCGTATTTCCTGTGCATTTCACGATTTTTTTTCTTTTTCTCCACTGGCGGTCCACTACCTACCCCTACTTTCACATTTGAGTGGAATTACCTCATAATTCAATCCTGAATCTTGCCTTTAACTTACTGATCACTTATAAATAGAAACCTTTTTTAGATGTTCAGATCTTGCGGAATATGTATCTGGAGACAGGAATTTTTAATTAACTATGAAAAGATCAAAAGACGTTCCGGACTGCTTTGCAAAGGCTCACGAACCGAGCATCACGTAACGCGTAAACATAGCCGTTTCTTTAAAAGACGAATATGAAACATTTCAGAAATTTAGATAATGGATGTGTTTGTAACAAATATTCATTTCACAGGTCAGATTTGTTGTTTCTCATAATATTCATGTAATATTCATTTTCACAGGGTGACCTTATATTATGAAACGGTGCAAAAACCGAAAAATAATTATAAAAAAGTTCGAAGAAAAGCTGCTCCCGCCAAAATTGCGATACAGGGGTTATTCATAGTGAGGAATCAGCTGGTAATAGTAGAAAAATTCCCAGTCTGCTGCTTGTCCGGAAATGCAAAATTTACCTTGTCTGTGTTTGTCCGTCTTTCACAAATCGGGACACCTTGAAAGAACTACTACAGAGCGCGGCCCAAGTGATAGATGGGTAGGGCATCGGTAAAGCAGTACTAACACATATCGGCTGGCGTGGATCATGGCCCGCAACAGCAGCGGGATCACGCGCCGTCTTGGGCATGTCGACGACAAAAAAGCTTAAGTAGCCGGTTATAGAAAAAGCGCGAAGACCCGGGATAAAATGGATAAAGTGAGACTTGAGTTGCATAAGGCCCAATTATTGCCTTGTGACGGACGCTTTCTATAAATGAGGCGGGCTTAAAGGAATCTTGCGCGGAAAAATCATGATTCTATTTCAGCCATAAATCACTGGCTTGAGACTCATTATCCACGATAATAGTGAAAAGAACTGAAGTATTGCTTTCGTTTTGATTAGAAATTCGAAAACTCGAAAAGGCTGCTACGCGTTCGAATTGCCCACGGACGTCTTTCACGAATGCTGGCGACGGGGATGCTCAAACTTGGTTCTTGGAGTGCATTCACTAGAAGCTCTTTCTGGCCTTCTGCTTCGTTGCATTCACATCTTACACTTCTACTCCATCCTATTCCATCGATCGATTTGTCTCCACTCTCCGAAATCGCGCGCTTTAACCCGATTCTCTCATTGCGTCGCCTGGTACGTAGCCGGCCAAACGCCGTCTTCTTTCCATGCCTCGCCTGGCTCTGCCTCCTGGTCCTTCGATGGTCCATAACGTGTAGTTTTTGTACGTTTGTTTCTCTTCAGAAACCGAATCTTCATGCGTGAAACTTTGTGTGCTATTTCCAGTGATCACAACTGACATATTCATGTTAGGAAAGAGTGCAAGAATTTTCCGCGCAAGATTCCTTTTTATGAATAATTCCATAATCGGGCACGAGAAAGCCAATGGAGAGCAGGAAGAGATAGTTTTAGAGGAGCAATAGCTACGGTATTCTCAGCATACCTGAAACTGAGCAGACGCCCACAGTAGGTAGAGCGTGTTCCTAAGTTGGCAGTGTTCATTCTGAATCCTCATAGTTCGGTTCAGAAAAGTCCCAAAAATCGGGTAAAAAAGTGGGTAGAAGTTAGAGAAGGAGCGAAGGTCAAGTGTTGACGAGGGATGGTGCGTGCATTGGCATGAGCGGAGTCATCCACGAAACTTTATAGTTCGGTTCCGAGAAATCCCGGAAAGCATGAGAAAAGTGGATAGAGTCTGACAGCGGAAAGAAGGTCAACACTATAGAGTGTGGGGCGTGTACCGGAATGGGCGGAGTTATCCCTAAAGCATTATAACTCAATTTCAAGAAGTCCTAGACATCGGAAAAAAGTGGATAAGGTCAGAGAAGGAGGAAGGGTCGAATGTTGGTGGTGGACCTGCCGTGAGCCAATAAGAGCACAGTTTACCACCAAACTCATCATTCACTTCCAAGGAGTCTCGGAGACCAGGAAAAAATGGATTGATGTAGGCGAAGTAAGGGAGGTCAAATGCTATGTAGGTGGTTGGCACTGAAGTGAGCGGAATTGCCACGAAGCTCTATGAAAATATCGATGGCTCTGTTTTATGCCATTACAGCCCCGCGTCATGCGCAGCCAAACTTGTGTCATATACAAATTCGCGGACCATACTTTCCAGTCACTGTGTGGTAAGAAAACTCAAAACTGCTACATATTGACTCACCAACGTATAATACCTTTTTACATTTGAAAGGTACGCGCGGTCGAATGCGAGGTGCTTCTACGTTTGGTCGTTCAAGTGTAAACAGTTGCAGAAGTAAGTAATTCTAAAATGGTGAACTATTGAGCACAACCAGTCATCAACTTTCGAGAACTCGACCAGCCTTCGCTTCATCGACGAAATTTCGGCACGTCACATTAGTCATCACTAGCTCGTCCTTGCTTATCGTATCGGCAAGGAACTCTGGCTGACAGAACGAAAGCCGTACGTGCTCCAAAACCTACAAGGCAGTCTATCAGAGGGCTGTCAAGCACTGACGAGTACAGAATCCTTACCCTAGGGAGGAACTGTTTCCGAGCTGCCAGGTCAAACCTCACCCATTCAAGCACAGCTGTGAAAACCTGGAAGATCACTTACCAGTGAGTAATGCAAACAGACAAGAATAACAAGCGTAGTATTACATGTAGGAAAACTTGTCATGATACCTGGTTCTCTGATCGCACGCGGAGCTTATCACATGAAATTACTTCAATTAAACGATCAGCAGAAAGCTGCAGAAACTCCTCAGCATGAACGACATCCTATAAAGAAGAGCAAAATATCTGCTTGCTTGGGTTCGTAGATTCGAACAAATCACAAACTTTGAATTTATGAGAGATATACTTGTCAGCGCAGCGAAGAAGTTCCTGGCATGCATAGGTATCGGCGAACGCTCGAATTCCCAAGCAGTTCGATGGATGCAATAACCTCATCATGAACTCGCCACATACGTCTACATAAACATAAGCATAAAAGAAGCACAAGAAATAGCAGGATCCACGGCAGAGTGTTTGTGATCGATAGGGTACGTCGCAATTTCGCACGCATCATCAGGCACCGTTGCTTTCTTATAATATTTTAATTACTTACACTACTAATATATTTTAGCGACTCATAGCTTTTCACCGATGATTGGTTACTGTTTGGGTGTTGTCGGGTAAGGACTTTTTGGGATCCCGCCTGTGTGTACATAGAGAGGGCAAAAAATAACCATGTACTCTTCGAGCTGGATCAATCATAGAAACGCCCCCTGGCGTGAAGGACGAAATTCCACTGGAGAAGGCGACCATTTCAAATTACCTTGCGATGATGTCCTTGGCTCCGTTTGATTTGAGCATATGATTCAGCATATCTATAACCCACTCGCCACGTGTAGACCTGCGGCGAGTGATCAGATGATCGGTGGGCGTGCACTGGCCCACCGCGCCAAGATTGAGCCTTAATAGGTCGCCGAGTCAACTTCTTCGGTGCCAGTTGCGCTTCAGTCCGCACCCTTAGGAAATCCGCGGGTCCCTCAACTAGGTGAATTCGCTCCTCTTTCAACCTTCATTCTAATCATGAATTCGTCCTTTGATGACAGTTGCAGATGATGTCATATTCCGAAGAACGAGACGGCTGTGAATAGTTGGTTGCGCATCAGCCGCGATTAGGGTAATTTCAGCATGATCGAATATTTGCCGGAAACACTTCCACCACTGACATTTCTGCGCTGAATACGGTTGCGTGAGTATGAATCCTCGAGCAAGCGTCCTTCTGGCCACTCCTGTTATGACTATTAAGAGCTGGACATAAGCGAATCTACAGTCCCAATCATGTACCCTCACTAGAATTGATGGGGAGTAGGGTTTTGTGGACTCGCCATCAATGACCGTCAGCTTTCAGCTGAGCATTGAGACACCAGCTATTTGCTCAGCTCTGCGAAGGCAATTTTGGAACAATCTGCGGCGTCAAAATCATAGAAAGTCATATCATCATGTTTAGATCGATAGTAGGCCCCCATTCGATCTAGTAGCACCGTGAATATTACGGGATTTACATGATTTCTTTCCTGCGAAAGATTGATTGCTACCATTGTAAAAGGTAAGAGTCAAATTAGCTTAGACTTTACCGAGCGTGGGCCTGCGTGGCTGCCTCATCATTGCATAGCATTTTTAAGCATGCTATAACCTCACCTAAACCGTTCACTCAGATTATCTCGTCTAACATATGTACTCATGTCATAAGCCCGCCAGAGAAAATCCCGAGTTGTTGCACCGCTCGTCCCCTTCATGGAAATCACTTCTGCATAGAGCGCTAGGCGCTTGCACTTGTTAGCGTTTCAGCAGTTGCAAAACGTCTCTTTCATCCGCTTGTTCTATTTTCTGCTCTACACTCTCCTTCCCGCACGCGTCTCATTACGTCAGCACTGCCGCACTACAAAATGTAAGAAGCTCCCAGCCGTCGGTGTATAATCGCGTCAGCGAATAAAGCTGGGTGAGTCGAGTGGTCTAGTAAAAGTGAAAGAAAAGCAATCAGAACTTCTCATTGTCGCCTTCGGTATAAGACCTGCTTTCTGTTTAGCCCGCCTTGAAGGATGAAAAAGCCGTCGTCGGACCATTTTCACCCAAAACCCTGGCTCCGAGTTGCTCCTATTCCACAAATCCGCACTCGCCCTCAAACCATGCGCTCGCGCATTTCTCCAGACGCGTCAGGGGCAGGGGCATCCCGAATAAGCGACGGTCCTGGAAATGTGAATGCAGATCGAAGCGCCAACACAAGCTTGCTAGTCGACTCTTGTCGCCGCGAACTCGTTAAAGCAACAGTCCCAGCCAGGGTTTTACCTTCGACACTAATGGCGTGGAACGCGCTAGCCCTAGTCAAGAACATAAGAAGTGTGACTAAACAAAAACTCACCTTGGAAAGCCGCTAGAAAGGGAGCTGAAGTGGGCGTGGTTGCTCAGTCGGCTGCAATCCCTCGGCCGACTTCCAACCACGCCCACTTCGAAGCCGTTCAGCTCCCTTTCCAGCGGCTTTCCAAGGTGAGTTTTTTGTTCAGTCACACTTCTTATGTTCTTGACTAGGGCTAGCGCATCGTTCCACACCATTAGTGTCGAAGGTAAAAACCCTGCTGGGACTGTTGCTTTGATCGCGGAAGGGGAGAGATATCAACGCTTGTCCGCCTTCCAACTACACTTGAGATGACAGTGAGCGTGCCCAATCTCTAAGCGTGCTTTTGATCTGAGCGTTCTCGATAGATTCTGTTTTTTCTGTAGTGCCGGCCCACTCCGCACTAATACGTTTGTATTCGTGAGCAATAACCACACCAGTTTGATACTTGGGCATGTCTTCAAAAGATGTTGAAGCCACGCGAAGTCTTTGAGACATAAACAGGAACCTAACCTTGACTTCATTCAGTTGGAGTAGGCAAGCAGCCGGAAGAATACTCCTTACATTGCTCTCGGTGATCTTTATTTTACCAGTGTAGCAGAAAGTAACAAGAGCGTCAAGCGTCGTAGCGTCCACGTCAACCATTTCTACTTCTTCTGCAAAAAGGTCAGGTAGCACAAGACCATTCACAGTGACTGAAAATGGCAAAAAAACGTTGATCAATGGTTCACCAAGGAGGTTCAGTTTCCTGCAGGAAATATGAACAGCTTGCTCAACTTTTTCCCCGTGATACTATGTTGGTCCATAACTTCTGAGCCGCTTTTATACTATCTATCCTACTATCGTAATATCGCAATCTACTACTCTCCGGCGATTTCAATCGATACGTATCTAATCTTGTCAGCGCAATCTCCTACTCTACTACTATCCTAATCTCCCCGTCAATACATATGTTTTTCATTGTCGCGTACTATCCTAATCTCCGGAGTCGCGAACTATGAACGCGGCCTAGGCAACCACCGCCACCTTTTCAAATGTAGATTCTTTATTATTTTCCTGATAGATTCGTTCCATTTAAAGCTACGGATCGGGATTAGGTGTCAAGAGCAAGTCCTCCCTTGAGTGAGGAAGAGTCTCAAGCCCAAGCACGTAACTCATAG